GTGTTCGCAAATGTGAAACTTACTTGGCAACTCCCAACATGGCAGGGTTGCGAACCCCGGTTCGCAATTTCCATACCTGGGGCTCATCAAATTCATACTTAGATGAATTTAAACCAATTTTCTTCATTCTTTCAAAACACAAACTCCATTGGCGATTTTTCACGAATTCTCTCTTCTCCAAATCATTTGTAAGTCGACTTTTACTTAATTTCTTCAATCTTTAACATCATTAAAACATGTTTTCATCTTAAAATCAAGGTTTTTCATGGGTGAAAATGGGAATTTGGAGTAGAACTTAGGTTTTTTTAAAATTGAGAATTTGGACCTCAATGTGAGGTCCGATTTCAAAATAAATCATAGATATGAACTCGTGGGGGATGGGTAATCGGGTTTTGGTTCGAACCTCGAATTTTGACCACGTGGGCCCGGGGCCATTTTGGGAATTTTTGGGCAAAACTTTGGAAAATCCATTCTTATGCATTCAAATTGATTTAAATAGCAATTGTTGATACATTTGAGTAATTTGTGACTAGATTCGAGCGGTTTTGTGGTGAATTTGAGAGGTAAAGCTATACTAGAGGCTTGAGTTGAGTTTGGAGCTTTCGAGGTACGTGTTTGTTATAACTTTGGCTTGAGGGAATAAGATTAGTATATTATTTGCTAATTGCTAAATGTGAAGTACGGTGTATAGGCATGGTGACGAGTATCTATGCACCGGAGTCTAGCATGACCGTGAGTCTTAATTATATTTATCCGAATTTTGTGATACCTCTTCCTTTTTTAATTGATGAGTCTCTTATAATGTGAAAGGTTTGAGGAAGAATTATGATTGGTACATTATGGGAGCGTTGGCTCGAATGAGAATATGATAATTGAGAAATAGGTGATCAAAAGAGAAAGTGTTGTAATTGCTCCCTTGCCGGGACATGTAGTTTATTATTGTGATTGCTCCCTTGCCGGGATTTAGGCATTATATGTATTCTCCCTTGCCGGGATAATTGATCTGTTAGATGTACCCTTGTCGGGACTTAGTCGTGTTGTTGTATTCCTTTGCCGGAATTTTTTGCATTGATTGTTACTCCCCTCGCCCCTGGTTTGCGGTTGTTGTTTGGCTGAGTACTTGGAATGGTTATAGAAGGTTCGGGTTGTGCGCCGCAATAATATTGAATGATATGGATCGGGTTGCACGTCGCATCATCTCTAAATATAAATAGATCGGGTTGCACGCCGCATCATCTCTAAATATAAGTGGATCGGGTTGTACGCCGCATCTTCTCTGAATATAAATGGACCGGGTTGTACGCCGCATCATCTCTGAATATAAATGGATCGGGTTGCATGCCACAACAGAGTATGGATTAAGTGTGCTTGTCCTCGTATGTGGAGTAACCTGCGTTTTCCTTATCTGTTGTTATTGCACAGCTTCATTTCTTTATCCGATGACTTTATATCTGAATTGTCACACCCCCATAGCATGCTCCCCTCCCTCTTAGATGTTTAAATTATGTGTATTTCCTGCTATCGCATATATATATCTGCACAGATTATTTTTGGTAGGTCCTGTCTAGCCTCATCACTACTTCGCGGGGTTATCCAGGCACTTACCAACACATGGGGTCGGTTGTGCTGATTCTACACTCTGTGCATCTTTATGCACAGATCCAGGTGTTGGAGCAGTATTTGAGTAGCAGTAGCAGTCTATGAACGAGCCTTCAGTCCAGAGATTCCCGAGGTAGCCTTGGCGACGTCCGCATGACCCGACGTCTCCCTTCTATGTTATTAGTTTGTTTTCCTTGTATCGAGACAAACATTGATGTAATTCCATTTCTGACTTGTTTTTAGCACTCTTTAGTAGTTCGTGAGTTAGTGACACCATACTCTGGGTAGAGATGTATTTTGAAACTTCCACGTTTGTTTTCTGTTATTTAAGTTTAAGACTTCCGCTTTATTTTAAATTGTCTCATTATTTTATATTGTTGAGATGTCATCAGAAAATATTTTAAATGTTTGGCTTGCCAAGCTCCGATAGTAGGCGCCATCTCCCGATGGTGGAAAATCTGGGTCGTGACAAATATACTCCATCCGTTTGAACTCTTTTCTCTTTCAAAATTCAAACTATATAAATTTTGATTAATATTTGATTTTTTTAAAATGTATTTACATGAGAAAAATTATATTATAACTTATAGTATTCTCCTATAGTTATTGAATATCTAAATTTTAACTATAAGATATCGAGTTAATATAATCAAATTTAGCTTGGAAAATTAATCAAATTGACTCTCGAAAATTAAGCGAAAGAGTTTGCGTAAACTGGAACGGACTAAGCCTTTAAAGCATCATTTATTTTTATTAAGATTAAGACGTCTGAATATTAATATGTATATTAAGATTAAAACGTTTGAATCTGATTACACATCGATCTGCATACTGAGATGTTGTATTAAGATTTGAAAACTGAATAATTAAGATTGTTTGTTAATGTACAAAACTTGTATTTATTTAAAAATTAATAAATATAAATTCAAATCATATAGTACTAATTAATCTAATACTATATTAAAAAATATTTTTAAAACTTTTATGATAATTAATGGTGGTGATGGCTAATAGTAACGATTCTGGGTGCTAACTGGGTAGTAATTGGTGGTGGTATTGGTTGATGATGGTGATTGTGAGTAATATATAGTGGATGACAGTAATAGTTAACGGTGGTATTTGATGGTGGTGATAACTGATAATGGTGATGGATAATATATAATGCTTATTGATAATTGTTGTGGTAATGGTGGTTCGTAATGATGGTGTTGAATGATGGCTAGTAGTAATAACAATTGACATTCATGCTCAACGGTGGTAGTTGTGGCTGTGGATGATAGTAGTAGATGGTCGTAGTTTATAACGGTAGAGGACAATGATAGCATTTGCGATAGTGGTTGGTGGTGAAAGTGTAGGAGTAATAGTAAAATTTTATTTTTACATATATTCTTGAATGTATAATTCTTAATGATATTAAGACTCTGTTATAAATCCTAATCATCAAGATCTATTCATACCCATTAAGAGCTTGTAAAATTACAAAACAAACAGATTTAATGGTTAAGATTTGGATGTTTAAGATTAAGATCTAAAAAAACAAACGCACTTACTGACTAATTCTGAATAATCAAGATTCAGATCTCCATTAAGTGCAAACAAATGAGATCACCTTTCACTTACCCCACTATCCAACTCGTTTAAAATAATTTTTTTTACTTGTATATGGTGTTTTATATGAAATTTATAAATGCATGATATTTATTTTCGTATTATTGTTTTATTATTTAATCATTATTAAATAATATGTACCTGCACCTGTACTCATTACTTATTAACTATAACAAATTAAATAATTTGTCAAAATTTATCGATCGAGCGTGAATAAGTATTTTCCCTTTTCTTCCCTCTATAGCCTTCTCTTTTCTTCGATTTTGGAACTTTTCGATTTTCCTCTCTTTTTTCACGTATTATCACACCACAGTTTCTTCATTTCCATGCCTTTCAGATTGCAATAATTGGTTACCTTTCCTTTCACTCTTCAATTTTTTCATCTCAATTCATATCTGAAGCAATAATTGGTATTTCCAAGACATTTTGGTGCCAAAAAAAGACCAACATTTTAGGATAAAGGCATGTACAGTCTTTTCATGACCCTAAAGTGTAAAAAGGGTTAAAAACTTCAAGAAAAAGAAGTAATGGTGATAATTGCCGATAATGAAGGGAGCCTTGGAACAACAATAAAGTTATTTTTGTGTAACCTATAAGTCACGGGTGGAAAGAGTCGCTGATGCTTGCATCACGGTAGACTACCTACGTGGTGTGGCTCTTTCACGGACCCTACGTGAATACAGGTTATTTGTACACCAGACTGCGCTTTTAACGACTTGTCGATAGCGAAACGAGTTTTTTTTTTTGGGTCAATCACCATCCAGTATTATTGAAGTGTAATTTTTGCCATATTTAACAACGGAAAAAATTAAGTTAAATAGGTTTCTAATGATTTTACTAGATTCTCCCCTGAGAAACTCGAACCTAAGACCTCTGTACCGATTTGAGGCTCAAAATATAACACGATGCAATCGAATTATAAAACAATTACTAGATTTTCGATTAATGAGTTGAAGTGAACACAAAATTTTTGAAATGAACACAAAATTTAAGGATTTTTTTTCTTTATTCATATAGAGGGTTGAAAACCCTTTTTTCTTGTGTTATCTTTTTAAAGGGACATTAATTATAAATTACAGTATTATTTCTTGTCACATTATAGTAATTTGTAGGAAATGTAGGTCCATCTATAAGGGTGCTCTAAGACCCATTATGGTTATTGTATTGGTCAAAATTGATTAATCACGCCTCCACGCTATGTAAAGCATGGCTTCGTACCAAAAGACGGCCTTAACAAAGGGCTTCCTGAGTAAAGACGGCCGTAATATGGACGGCCCAGATGAGGACGGCCTCAGAAGCGAGTTGGTCAGCTGACAAGACCCGTGACAGCGACGTCTCAGACTCTGACACACCCACATCTCGAGGCCACCAACCGTTGTACTTTCGTTTTGTGTATCTCGAGAGAGGGCTCCTAGTATATAAAGGAGACCCTCTCACCTTTATAAGACTCATGTGTATCTTTGATAAAGAATATACAACTCTAATTTCTATCCACTGATTTCTATCCAACTTGCCTCCTATCTTGCTCATATTATTGTTGATATTACCACTTAATCTTAGCTAAAACACTTAAGCACAGATCTTCGTAGATCTTTACTCCACGATAATCTCTAAACCATATTATATTTGATTCCAATTAACCCCCATTATATAAATCGATTTATTCTTGAGCTTAGAAAGTATCCGCATAACTTTTACTCAAATAATTTGGCGCCGTCTGTGGGGATTTCGTGAATCAAAGCTGTAGTTTGCTCTCAGAGATCTTCTAAAAAAATCATTCGGTATAACACAAAATGGCTGACAACGATTCAAGAATGAAAGCCATTGAAGGTGCTAGGGCAGATCTTATGAACTCTCTCAACGTAGTCGCGGGAGGAGATGCCATACATGCAACCTCTAGCACCATGATGAACATGGAAAACACTCTACCTCCCCCTTCCGAGAATAAAATGGGGCCACATGAGAAAGAAGCTTCTACATCCACAACCAGAGAAGCACCTCCTGAAGTTAAAAAGTTGTTGGAAGAGTGGTTGACGAACGCTCTCAGTGGCTTAGCTGAAAAGCCATCTCAAGATGCTAGACGTGCACCGACAACCGACCATGTCGTGGTCGATGATGAACTCGAGATCACTCAAACAAACGACGTGCTTGCCGGTGCTCAGGTTCATAATGATACCCTTACCGCCATCCTTAAAAAGATGGAGGAAATGGAGAACGAAAACAGGTCGCTCTGTGACCAGATGAAGGAACATCAAGAACGGGTAGATAAAATCCCAGGTGCCCCTAAGCTATTGCCCAAACGAGACATGGGAAAGTTCATTGAACAACCCTACACAGAAGAAGCCGTGCCCTACCACATCCCGAAGACCTTCAAAATGCCCCTTTATTTGAGGGTATACGATGGAACCTCAGACCCCGAGGACCATCTGATTCACTATGTCACAGCCGTCAAAGGTAACGATCTATCAAAAGAACAGGTACCATCAGTGCTTCTGAAAAAGTTCAGCGAAACCCTAACGGGAGGAGCCTTGACGTGGTACTCCCAACTGCCGGCCAGAGGCATCTCTACATTAGAAGAAATGGCGGATAAGTTCGTCACCGCTCACGCTGGAGCCAAGAAGGCGGAAGCTCGAGTCAATGACATCTTCGCTGTTAGGCAGACCTCAGGAGAAGGACTCAGGGAATTCTTAGCCCGGTTCAACAGAGCTAGGATGAACTTACCTAACGTATCGGAAGGCATGGCGGTAGCAGCTTTCCAGAACGGGCTCAACAGATACGGCTCAAAGGCAACCAAGAAGTTGCTCAGCCACCTCATGAAGTATCCCCCCACGATGAAATTCATAGCGCCTATTGCGCTGAGGTGCGTGGGGACAATGACGACCTCAACGGCCCAACCAGGCGGCTGGTAACGCTATATGCGGAAAATCGGAGAGACCGACGCAGTGAAGGACGACGCGAGCAAATCCCACGCGTCAACAGAGAAAGGCACCAACCATACAACAGGTCTTCGCACCCACCACCGCCGAGACATGCAGACGCCATACAACGGCATGTCGCTCCATTGAGGAACGACAGAGGTATGCCCCCTTTACTGTCCGCACATAACTTTTGTGTTTCCCCTTTAGTAATAGTGTACGCACTGGAGAGGCTGGGCAACAAAGTGCAATGGCCTTTGAAGATGAAGTCCGATCCTGCCACCAGGAAGTCAAACGCCCTGTGCGAGTTCCATCAGGAACGTGGGCACAAAACTGAAGATTGCATAGGCCTTCATCAAGAAGTGGTCCGTATGCTGAACCAAGGATTCCTGAAAGAGCTGCTCAGTGACAAAGGGAAACTCAATTTTGCACGAGGACGTGAACATCCACAGGGCCCGCCAAGGCCGCCTTCGCCAACACGCACCATCAACATGATCATTGGGGACGACAATGACTCAGCAATCAACCATGTCAAATTCACCACCACTCACAAATTAAAACGAACTATCGCCCACGAACGGTATGATGACTCCGAAGATAGTATCACCTTCGATAAGTCAGATACCGACGGTTTGTCTTTTCCCCATTATGATACTTTGGTTATTACTTTACGCATAGCTGATACCGACGTCAAAAGAATCATGGTAGACGACGGTAGTGGTGCCTGTATCATTCATCCGAGAGTCCTTGCTTTGATGGGACTCGAGGATAAAATAATGCCACGCTGCATAACACTAACAGGCTTTAATAATGCAGTGGAAAGAACTTCCGGAGAAATAACGCTGCCCGTCCTGGCGGGAGGAGTGATCATGGAAACCACATTCCATGTGATGAACCAAGAGACGGCATACAATGCTATCATTGGGAGGCCATGGATACATGCCATGAGACCAGTCCCCTCCAGCTTCTACCAAGTGATCAAATTTCCCACACCTTGGGGTGTATTCAGCATCAAGGGCGAGCCACATACTGCCCAGGAGTGCTACAAAATTGCCCAAGACCACACGCACACCAGGCAGCTAAAAGGAGCAAGTGCAAAAGCATAGCAATCAGCCCTGTCGGAGACCACAGTCCACCCGACAGAAGACGCGATCAGAGAACCCGACATCTTCGAAGCCAACAAGGCTACGATTGAAGATCTCGACCCCGTCCAGATAAGCAGCACCGACTCAACGAAGAAGGCTTACATAGGCCACGGCCTATCAAACCCAAGTAAGTACCGTGATTTTTTAGCTAAACCACTTCGATTTGTTTGCCTTCTCTCACGCAGATATGCCGGGAATCCCGCGAGAAATCGCCACTCACAAATTGAATGTCGACCCACTGCATCCGCCTGTACGGCAAACAAGGAGAAAATTCAATGCCGCCATCAACAAAGCGGTGAGTGAGGAAGTGGACAAACTATTAGCAAATGGCTCCGTGAGGGAATCTAAATACCCCGAATGGGTCGCCAATGTCGTCATGGTCAAAAAGAAAAACGGGAAGTGGCGGATGTCTGTAGATTTCACTGACTTAAACAACGCGTGCCCGAAGGACTCATTCCCACTGCCACACCAACTAATAGATGCCACGGCGGGTCATGAGCTACTGAGTTTCCTTGACGCGTACTCCGGTTACACCAAATCATGATGGCCGAAGAAGACCAGGAAAAAACGACTTTCATCACCCATCGAGGTACGTATTGCTATAAAGTTATGCCTTTCAGACTTAAAAATGCAGGGGCCACCTACCAAAGGTTGGTGACCACAATGTTCAAAGAACAGCTGGGAAAGACAATGGAAGTCTACATCGACGACATGCTGGTAAAGTCATCAAGAAAAGAGGACCACCTCGACCACCTAAAGGAAGCCTTTGAAATATTAAGAAGATACGGAATGAAGTTAAACCCCGAAAAGTGCGCCTTCGGTGTCGCTTCAGGAAAGTTCCTGGGATTTCTGGTATCACAAAGAGGGATCGAAGTCAACCCGGACCAGATCAAAGCCATAGAGGCCATTCTAGAAAAACTCAGCAGCAAAAAACAGGTGCAAAGGCTCACAGGGCGAATAGCCGCCCTCTCTAGATTCATCTCACGCTCCTCTGATAGGTGCCACAAGTTCTTCAGCATCTTAAAAAAGGACCGGGGACTACAATGGAATGAGGAGTGCATCGAGGCATTGAGAAACTTGAAAGCGTACGTATCATCGCCGCCTCTATTGGTCAAAGCCAACCCAGGCGAACCGCTTCTGGTGTACTTGGCCGTATCCGAGGTTGCGGTCAGTGCAGTCCTCGTACGAGAAAATAAATGTACGCAATCACCTATCTATTATGTTAGCAAAACCTTGGTGGACGCCGAAACTCGGTACCCACACCTTGAGAGATTAGCACTAGCGCTCGTAGTAGCTTCACGAAAACTACGACCCTACTTTCAGTGCCACCCCATAAGGGTGGTAACGACCTTCCCACTTAGAAGCGTCCTACACAAACCCGAACTCTCAGGACGGCTCACCAGATGGGCCATTGAGCTCAGCAAGCACGATGCCACTTACCTCCCTAGAACTGCCATTAAGTCGCAAGTCTTAGCCGATTTTATTGCCGACTTTAGTGCGGAAGTCCTGCCGGAAGCAGAACTTGAAGTACAACGCCCATCCTCCCAAGATGACCTATGGTTCCTCTACATGGATGGTGCCGCCAATGCATCGGGATCGGGACTGGGACTCGTACTCGAGGTCCCCACGGGCGAAACGATTCGCCAGTCCATACGATGCCCAAATATAACTAACAATGAGGCTGAGTATGAGGCCATTATCGTAGGCATGAAGCTGGCCATCAAGTATGGGGCTCGCCGCATCCTCCTCCATTGCGACTCTCAGCTCGTGGTAAACCAGATCGCTGGGACTTACCAAGTCAAAGAGCAAAGACTACAGAAATACCAAACAGAAATCCATAGGTTGATGGGTATCTTCGATGAATGCCGCGTCGAGCAAATTCCTAGGACACGGAACATCGAAGCGGACGACCTAGCAAAACTGGCCGCAGCCACTAAAAATATCAGCAAAGAAAGTGTAGTCACACTCCTCCATTCAGCCATCGACCACACCGAGATACTTTTTTTAAACCTAACTTGGGACTGGCGCAACTAGTTTATATCTTACCTGCAGGATGGAACGTTACCACTAGACAAAAAGAAAGCAAAGAAGCTTTGTGTGCAGGCAGAACGGTACTGCATGGTCGACAACGACCTCTACAAAAGAACATTTGGAGGACCCCTGGCCAAGTGCCTAGGGCCGCACCAAACAAGGCCAGTGCTCGAAGAAGTACACGAAGGCCATTGCGGCGCACACACAGGCAACCGCGCCCTCGTACGTTGCATCATACGTGCCGGCTACTACTGGCCTACCATGAAAAAGAAGCGGCCGAGCACGTTCGCCGATGCGAGCAATGCCAGAAATACGCCCCAATGATACATCAGCCAGGAGAACTCCTCCACTCAGTCACGTCTCCCTGGCCCTTCATCAAATGGGGAATGGACATAGTTGGCCCCCTACCCGCGGGAAGGGGAAAAGGCACGCTTCTTACTCGTTTTAACTGACTATTTCTCCAAATGGGTCGAGGCAGGTGCGTACGCAAAGATACGCGAGCAAGAAGTCATCGCCTTCATATGGAAAAATATCATATGCCGTTTTGGCATACCCAAAGAGATTAGCTGCGACAATGAGCGGCAATTTGTCGGTCAGAAAACGATCGAGTTCTTCGTAAAATGGCACATCAAAAGGATACTCTCCACACCATATCACCCCGCCGCCAACGGACAAGCAGAATCCTCCAACAAGACAATCCTGAACATACTAAAAAAGAAGCTCGAAGACGACAAAGGGTTATGGCCCGAACTCCTGCCAGAAGTGCTATGGGCACACAGAACCACGCCCAAATCCAGCACAGGAGAAACCCGATACTCGCTGGTCTACGGAACCGACGCAGTTATACCCGTCGAGGTAGGCGAGCCCAGTCTGAGGTACTCGCACACCAGCGGGGTAGAAAACGACGCCAGCAGGCTCCAAGACCTCGATGAAGCAGAGGAAAGAAGGGAAATGGCCCACATACGGATGGTGGCCCAAAAACAGCAAGCCGAAAGGTATTACAACAAGAGAGTGAAGATAAGGCCGCTCAAGATAGGAGATTACGTCCTCAAAGCCAAGACAATAGCCTTCAAAGATCCAACTGAAGGAAAATTGGGCACAAATTGGGAAGGACCCTACAAAATCACGGCGACTGCCGGCAAATGAGCGTTCGAGCTAGAAACCATAGAAGGAAAGACACTCCAAAACAACTGGAAGGTCACTCACCTCAAACATTTCCACTTCTGAAAGGGCGTCCCCCAAGTCGCACTCTTTTTCCCTTATCCGAGTTTTGTCCCAAATGGGTTTTCTCGGAAAGGTCTTTAACGAGGCGGCAAAGGGAACACCTGGAGATGTTTTTGCGTAGCAAAATGTATCATGTCGGCCTCTCCACGGACTCTCCAGCCCAACATGATACAAGGACTGAACTAGTAACATCTCCAATGTATGCAAAGGCCACGGCCATCTCCAGTAAATGAAACGGCTAAGGCCATTATTTCTCCAATGTATGCAAAGGCCACGACCATCTCCAGTAAATGAAACGGCTAAGGCCATTATTTCTCCAATGTATGAAACGGCTAAGGCCATTATTTCTCCAATGTATGCAAAGGCTACGGCCATATCCAGTAAATGAAAAGGCTAAGGCCATTGTTTCTTAAACGCGGTTACGACCGCCGAAACAAAATTTTTACATGGCTAAGGCCATTGTTTCTTAAACGCGGTTACGACCGCCGAAACAAAATTTTTACATGGCTAAGGCCATTGTTTCTTAAACGCGGTTACGACCGCCGAAACAAAATTTTTACATAGCTAAGGCCATTGTTTCTTAAACGCGGTTACGACCGCCGAAACAAATTTTTTTACATGGCTAAGGCCATTGTTTCTTAAACGCGATTACGACCCCCGAAACGAAATTTTACATGGCTAAGGCCATTGTTTCTTAAACACAGTTACGACCGCCGAANGTTTCTTAAACGCGGTTACGACCGCCGAAACAAAATTTTTACATAGCTAAGGCCATTGTTTCTTAAACGCGGTTACGACCGCCGAAACAAATTTTTTTACATGGCTAAGGCCATTGTTTCTTAAACGCGATTACGACCGCCGAAACAAAAATTTTACACGGCTAAGGCCATTGTTCCTTAAACGCGGTTACGACCCCCGAAACGAAATTTTACATGGCTAAGGCCATTGTTTCTTAAACACAGTTACGACCGCCGAATCAAAATTTTACATGGCTAAGGCCATTGTTTCTTAAACACAGTTACGACCGCCGAATCAAAATTTTACATGGCTAAGGCCATTATTCCTTAAACGCGGTTACGACCGCTGAAACGAAATTTTACATGGCTAAGGCCATTGTTTCTTAAACACGGTTACGACGGCCGAAACGAAATTTTACATGGCTAAGGCCATTGTTTCTTAAACACGGTTACGACCGTCCAAACAAAATTCACATAGCTGAAGCCATCGCTTCCCAAACACAGCCACGACCATCGAAGCAAAACTTACGCGGCTTAGGCCATCACTTACCATAACAGTCAGAAGCATCAAAGCTGCACACGGCCTAACACTTCACTAGACCATACACAATGCAAAGTGACACTCCACATCAATTACGACAGGAACAAAATCAACCACAACAAAAGAGTCACATGTATTCATCTCTCACAAAGAAAAATGAATACAACCGACCTTAAGCTAGGGAGGTCGGCGCCCATGATATACAAAAATACATACATAATAATTTACAAATCATATGCTACGAGCCTCCGCCATCATGCTCGCCCTGCTCGGCTCGAGCTCCAGAAACTCCGTCTTCACGACCGGGAGGATATGTCCTCAAAATCCAAGAACCAGACTCCAGGCGGTTAACATCAGCAGAGTTGCCGCCCTCTCGAGCCGGTGAATCAGAGCTGTAACCGGCCTCTTCACGAGCAGCCCTAACCAAA